AATAACATGTTTTATGACTTAAGTTCCGCCGAAATTATGAAATTGTCTAACTGTTGTTAAGATCAGCACATTAGCGATTTAAGAATCGAAAAAAATACCGAGTTACATACACTTTCCAGCTGGTTTTTCTTGACTTAAACTGCTGTAGAAGATGCCCAGGTTAAATCCCGAGGAGCGCTGTTGGGCAATTTGAATACAAGAAGCTACATTATCGGCTCGTAGAAAGGCGAGAATGCTTCATTGCTCCCATCCTACAGTCAATATCCTGAAAGGTACATGTAGGTTCCAAGTCACGGGAGTTACACCTGACAGACTCAGACCAGGCAAACCATAGGTCGATACTGCCCTCGAGAACAGACAGATACTGCTCTGGCATCTTCGAGATCGCTCTCTCACAACGACCAGCTCTGCATGTCAATTTCATATAGACACTAGAAGAGTTACCAACGAAAGAAGGATACAACAGCGTTAAAACACATTCGGACATCAAGCAAGCGGCCCTATAATGACCAACGTTGGCCATTTTTCCAAACGTTAGGCCGGAACTGTTTGGTCAAATCATCACATTCGTCTGGTAGTTTGGAGACGTAAAGAAGAGAGAGAGAGAGAGAGAGAGAGAGAGAGAGAGAGAGAGACTAGCTGACTGCTGCATGCATGAAATAGACAGATGAGGCAGTGGCAGTGTGATAATGTGGGGTTGAATATATCCAAACCACAGAACCTATCTGCACATTTTTAGCGCTATGGTCGACGCCATCGAGAACCAAAATGTTTTCCGGACTTACGATTTGGTTCCCTTCTTTCAAACCCATAGACGTATGCATACATTCTAGCAAGACAATGCGCTCCCTCACATTGCCCGTGTAAATGGGCAGAATCTACTTACCTTTTACCTTTACTTTTACTTTTTTATTCTCCGTTGCCATTAAACGTCGATGGGAGATGCAGTTTTCTATGGTAGGCCAGTTCTGCAGCTCTTTCAGGTGTGAATTTGTTTTTTCATGGTGTCCTTGACATTCTCGATCCACCTTTTACGTGGCCTTCCTTTTCCTTTACCGCCCGAGTGCTTGGTGTTGTAGGCTCACGAGGCTGTCTGGCCACCTGACATACGTAATAGGTGGCCAAACCGTTTATACTGGGTCTTTCTATGCAATGTGAGCAGGACGTAATGCCGATAGCTGTTCTTACTTTTTCATTTATCTGCCTGTCTCGTCTCGTGATGTTAAGGATTTTGCGGAGACATTCATTTCGCATGCGGTGGTTTTGCTTTCATGGGCGTCACTTAACATCCAAGTCTGGCACTGGTAGCATAATGTTAGTATGAATATTGTGGTGCCCCAAGGATCCCCCTCTCTCCTGTGCTTTTCAATGTGTACACTGCACAGAAAACGATGCATCAGAAAGAATCTTGATGTGTCCGGAGCTTTGCGGATGACATAATGGCATACGAGCACGGAAATGACAGACTTCAGATGGCAAGGAACATGGAGAAAAGACTTCACTCAATTGTAAAATGATGCCACCAATATGAAGCAGTTATCAATCCTTCAAAGGCACAGGAACTTTGGTGTTCCGTCGACAACAGGATTGTCCAAGACATAACTCCACCAATCACTTGCAACTAGGAGATTATCGAAAGACAGTCAGAGCTGAAGTATCTGGGAATCGTCTTCGACAGGTCGTTGTTCTTCAACAAGCTTGTGGATCATGTGGTTACAAAGGCCAAACGAGGTGTTGGTGCAATCAAGACCATGGCGGCCGCTCTGATTCCACAAAGAGTGCTCTTCCTGATGTTGCAGCTGGTCGTCCTGTCTGTCATTGATTACGGATTGGGCTGTCTCACGCTGTCCGACACACAGATCGCACAGTTGGATCGAGTGCAAAATGAGGCAATGACAGCAGTGCTGGGCTGCACCAAGGACACTTCAATATTGTACCTGCGCTACTTGCTAAGTTTAGTTGGCATCAGAGTACGCTATAGGATAGCTCAAGCAAAGATGTATCTTGGTGTAATGGGCAGGAACGATCATCCACTTCACAAACCACTTCATGACAAAAAGAGAGGCATAATCAAAAAAGAAAAATTTTGGATGGCGGAAGCAGAGGATTCCCGGAGAAAAATTGGTGCACCTGAGAGCCTACCACTTGGCGAAGAATTGGAACACGGGCCGGAGAATACAGGGACTCACCAAGGTCAAAATAAGCATGGCCAGAGACAGAAGAAATGTGGCGACTTCCTTCAACGAGAGCGATATCAACGAGATTGTTGACACAAACTCAAAAGCAGGAGATCCTGTAATTTATACAGATCTTTCAGTGAAAAGAGATAGCCAGCGAAGTGGATGGGGATTTGTTGCATTCGCCAACAATAATTTCATACACAGTGCATCTGGAGCCTGCAGCAAGGATACATCAAGTATGCAAATGGAAATTGAAGCCATCACGAAAGCACTTGATTGGATGACCCAAGATCGCCCCCACACAACCCATGCTGTTCTTCTCACTGATTCCATGTGTACCCTCTGAAGGATCGAAAAAAGTTTCCTGAGAACAGAATGGATTCAAGTTATCGAAGAAACGCCTATACGATCGCTCACATGGATTTTCTGCCCTGGCCATGCAGGTGTTAGAGGAAATGAAAAAGCCGAGAGATTGGCTGGTGAGGCTACCTCAGTTGACGGCACGGTTCGACCATATAGGGTCGAGATCCTGAAATGTCTCTCTCGCCAGCTGATTGAGGAGGAAGATAGGGAGGCAGAGGCCAGTACTGCTGTGGAGAGGAAGATGCTTTTGGGAGTACAAAATGGAAGCGGGAAATCTGGTACCCTTGCAGGAAAAAACAGAAGAAAGTTCAACCAGATATGCACTGGCACAATCAGTGGAAAGACCCTTGGCGACATTTTGGAGAGAGCAACGGATCATCAATGGACATGTCCGGGGTGCAGGAATGTTGCTTCCTGAAACAATGAACAATGACAATGATTGAGGTGATAAGCTGTCTCTTTGTGTCCATGCAGAGGCTTGGCTGACAAAAGAGGGGGGCCAACTGGTAGGCGACAGCGTTGGCTTTTTTAGTTCGCATTTCTATTTCTCTGTCGATGGACCCGTTTTCATAAAAAAAATACTGCCAAGATATTTAAACTCCTTCAACTGTTTCAGTTGTTTATTATTGACATGGGTTTTCAGGGGACTACGGCTTCGGCTCACTTTCATAACTTCTGTTTTTGGTGTGCTTATTTTCATGTTAACTTTTTCGCTGCTGTTGTTCAGTTCGGTAGTGTGATTTTGGAGGCTTTGTTGGTTTGGATGAATAATACATTGGTTGTCTGCGAATAGAAGTTCATTTAGGCTTTCTGGGCTTTGGTTTGAGAGTTTTGCATTGTTTACTCTGTCAAAAGCCTTCTCCTGGTCTAAAAAGACGATGTTGGATTCTTTGTTGTGTTTGATTGTTTTCTCGCATATCTGTCTGAATGCGAATACAGCATCGTGCATCCTCTTTGCTTCCGGAATCCAAACTGAGCTTCGCTCAGATTTCTCTCTACAATAGGTATTATCCGCTGTTCTAGTATCTTTAGATGACCTTGTACTTTGTGCAATCCCGTGTTTGTTGCCTTTCTTTTTCCATAATGGGACCACTATGGCTTTATGCCAGTCTTCTGAGCATTTCCTTTGCTCCCAGGCTCTATTTGAAAATTCGCCTGAGCCACAGTACGCCGGCGTTTCCACAAGCTCTTACGGCTTCCCCTGGGATGTCATCTGGTCCTGGGGCTTTGTTCTTGGGACTGGTTTTGAGTGCCTTTTCGATTTCACTGAGAGGCATGGGTGGTTCTGTATGCTCTCCATATGATGGTTGGAACTCCGCTTGTTGTCCGTGGTAAGCGTCTGGGTTGAGTAGTTGAGCAATATCAGCAGCAAAACGTGAATGTTTTTGGTTTTGTAATGTGTTGTACGGCGCTCCCAACTGCATAAGGTCATATGAGCGCGCGGGACACACCTAATATTTTCAGTTGGAAGGACATTTTTTAATTTTGCCCGGGTGACGGCCGAAGCCTACTCTTATCGATTTTAGACCACCAAGGGATCTTTAACGTGCGCAACTTGCACACGGGCCCTCCGAGATTTTTCGCCCTTGTCCGAGAAGACTAGGTGTAGATCTTTCTTACCAGAAGATCAGGGGTGTGGCAGAAAGACAGCAGTAAGGAGGAGCCAAGGAGTAGCAGTAGAAAGGCTGCAGAAAGAGTCAGGAGCCAGAGTAGGGGGCAAAGGAGGTGAGGGGGTGAGGGCAGAAAGTGGAAATGAAAGCAGACAACAGACCATTGCTAGAGAGCAAGAAAGAAGGTGAAATGAGACAATTTTAGAGAAGAAAATTTTTCGGTCGCTACCCGGATTCGAACCCGGGACCTTTTAATGAGAGGCCAACACCTCAACCTCTAGGCCACGAGAGCCCCCAACGTGAATGTTTTGCTATTGCCAGCCTATTCGCTTTACACTTCACCCTATGGGCCAAAACGACATTATCATTTACAACGACTGGGACAGGCACTGGTTCAAGAGTGGGATTGACTGCCAAAACAATTGATTTTTAAAGAAAAAAAAACTGACTCAATCAATGCTTAGAACATGCCAAGGATGTATCATTGCAAAGGACGGCAATACGCGCTACTTACATGAAATGTTGAAATCAAGGAGTACCAGTTTGTGCTTAACACTGTGCCACCATAATACGAGACATGATGAAGAAACAAAAGATAAAAACACTACTTGACGTACCTTTAAATAATGTTTGTGTCAATTTTTTTTATCCTATGTTGAGTTTCTATTCTATCTTAGCCTACGGAAGTTTTCTCAGAGGAGGTGGGGTTAAAGAGGAAGAAGGGGCCTCTGACGTCAACATACGTCGCTCTATGCTTGTTTGACTCTGATAACAACTATAATGTTTGCCCGCAGTGCCGACGCCGCCATCACGTCTTTGTGGTTCTTATCGATTGGCAGTCTCCATAATGTGTTCCCTGGGGATCTTCACTTGTATAGCTCAGCGTCTATCTCTAAGTGTTGCCATCGTGGCGATGGTCAATCAAACTGCTCTGAGGCAACTTCGTGAAGACAACTGGAATGACACAAATCATGAGTTGGGTGAATGCAAAAATTGCGAAAAGGGGCACTTTGAGGATAGCATACAATTAATGGTAAGTTTCAACTCTTTTAGAACAGGTGTCCATACCACTCCATGCCATATTTTCTTTCCCTCC